CTCTATGTATAGTATCATGTCATCTGCAAACAGTGACAGTTTTACTTTTAGAAGTATATAGCTAAAGTCTTGCCTATATTTGAGACTCTTTCCATCTAACAGTTATATGGCTTTATCTATGAGTAGCTAAGATAAATAGCTATGGCAATTTCATGGTAGTTAAAATCATATTTCTTAGTAATCTCTAGATTTTCAGGGACCATTAGAGATCCCTGTGTGAATCTTGAAATAATGAAAGGTACATTTTAGCAAATATTTTAGGTATTCTACTATTGCTGCATTGATTTAGAAACACATTTCTAAATCAATTTTTTTCCCTGCAATTTTAACTTGTAATAAAATGAGTCTTAACAAAAGTGCCCTTTGCAATCTAAATGCTTGGTCTGACTAACAGAGGGCCAAATTGAGAATTAATTAACATTTTGAAGCCATAGTGCTATATTGCTTAATCCTAAATTGTACTTCAAATAGGGATCGATTTCTACACCGGAGCAAAAAAAAAACCCTATTTTCCCTTTCCATGCTTTTTTTTTTTTTAATAAAAAATATGGATGGCATGTCTTTAGACAATAAGATTAAATAATGCAATCATTAAATGTTTCTGATGAGGCCATAATAATATCCTATTACAGAATCCATGTTCTCCAAGTCATCTTTAAAACTTTGAGAAAACAATCATTACTGAATAAGGAAGACAGAAAACCAACCAATACTGAACACATTAGTATAATTTAGTATTCATAAAACTGATAATAGACATCTATTTCTAAAAATCCTTAAAGCACAGGTAATAATGGAGCCAGTCAGCAATTTGCCACTTGCAATTAATCACTCTCTTCATATTCACAACATTCAATTCTTCTTGCTATTTGAGAGAGTAATGATTAATTGATAAAAGTTTAACAAGTGCACTAATAGCAGGTGCTCCTAATTGCAAAGTCTTCAGAATGATTCTCCCCAAACCTACTTTATGTTAATTTTTACAGCATGAGTCATAACACTTTATGATTTTACTTTTAAAACGACTTTTCTTTTAGTCACCCTAATTTAATTAAGAATTTTAACTAGTTACATGTATCAAGAACACCAATGAATTTTAAATTTGTGAGTTTGATTACCATAAGAGATTAACAAGAGGACTCATAAAAATGCACGGCTGCCAATTAGAAGCACCAACACTGTGTAAATTAGAATTTGTTAATTGGTTTAGCAAATGTAAATTCAATTTTTTGAAATTTTATGAACTGAAACATTGATTATATTTTTGTGAGCCTCCAGAAATATCTTATTAGTAATGGTATTTGTTTCAGCAGTTCCTGAGATTATGCTTGTATTTTAGCCATAAATATTCTATTTCATTTATTTCAAAAATATCTGATTATAGAATTCATTTTTCAACCACACACGTTTGCCCCTCACCATCTACACTATTAAATGAATATTTAAGTACACATTTTTCTTTCATCTGTCTTTCCTCTCAGCAAAACAGATAAAATATGCATTCAAGGTAAGGTTTGTTACTTTGTACTATAATACTAAAGTGCATGTAATTAATTTAGTTTCCTTAAACACTATGTGTTTATGACACAACCTAAAGATGCTTTTTACAAAGACGAATACTGAAACAGCATTTCAGGTGTGTAGATTAATACTGTTTGCCTCTAGGAAACAGACCCAGGAATCTTGTATTTTATAATTATAAGAGGAGCAGAAGCTGTACTTCAGTATGCATTGTGGAATGGCAGGGTCTCTTAGCAATGTAAGATTAAAATCCATTCTCAGCGACATACAGACACAGTCTGAGCACTAACCTCCCATCAGTCACTCCCAGGCTGAATTGCAGTCAAGAAAACTGAGGGCAGAATTGAGGACAGGCCTAAAATACTCTTATGGCAGAGTCTACATTCTGTAAGTGAGGAGCTGGGGAAACGGTGCATTGGATTGTTCTGTGAACTCAGCACTCCATTTTCCAGATAATGTGACTCGTTTGATAGTAACCACAAACACCCTCACTTAGCCCCTTAACTACTCCTACCCCTCCCAGAAATGTTGTTGAAAATCACAATGCATGATAATCTCTCCTGAAGGCTCCAAATTTAGCAGAAAATTATTTGGCTGTTCAATACCTCTTGCATTAATGCATTATCCTAAATTAGTGTAATTAGATTATTCTATCCATGATTAGCTCCCGAAAGGAATAAAACACAGGATGAGACCAGACGGAAATGGAATCATGAACTCAGTGCCTTCCCCTTTTATCAATGTGGGTAGGAAAGGACTTGACATTTACAGAGAACACGTCTCATGCGTATAGTTCCTCATCATCTTTAAGCAGGAACTGGGACCCACGCAGCCAGATACGGGAACCAAGTAGCAGAAGGAAAGCATCTGACCTGGGAGGGCTCCTGCAGGAACTCAGGGTTAAAAGAGATGGAGTTCCTAGAAGTCAGCTGGGTCACAGGAGCAGAGCAGTCCCTGACCGCCAAGAAACAGGGTGGCTTTGATTTTTCACCCAGATCCCGTCCTCCTTGTTACACTCACCCTTCCCCAACGTGATCTTCATGTTATACTAGTTTAAACGAAAAAAAAAAAAAAAAAAAAGTGGAAAACCACCTCAATTTCCAAAAACCAAAGATTGTTTAATAAATTTAGATATTAGGGGACTATTATGCCACTATTAAACTAATAATGAAGACATAAATAGAGAGAGAGAGACATGGAAATATGTTCACTACTTCTTAATTCATTGGTTCACCGAATATTGTTGCCTGCTTGTTATGTGTCAGGCTCTGATCTGTTTCAGCAGTAAAGAAAACAGTGAGAGATTCAAAAAATTAAAAACTAAACAAGTACATAATGTAATTTCAGGAATGATCGTTGCTATGAAGAAATACAAGGCAGGGGAAGGAATGGGGGGAGTATGTGGGAATGACACTTGAATAGATAAAGAGCTAAGACCATTCCCAGCAGAGGGAAAAGTCAGTGTGAAAGCTCAGAACTGGGAGTAAGAAGGCCAGACACATGGGGGGAAAGAAAGCCTGAGGCTGAAAAGGAAGCAGAATGAGAGGTGGGACAAAGAATAAAGATTGCAATGGTGGCAGCAAACTGGAGATGCTCTAGCGCCCTCATTTAGCTATCCTTTCCCAGGATGGTTCCAAGAAAGGAACCATCATCTGCCCCGAGCTGGTGGTAGTTCTGGGTGTAAGAAGGCGTCTCTGGATGCTGTGCCCTACACGTGTTAATAACCAGGGGTGTCGAATGCATTTGTCTCCTACCCAGTGGAGAGAGTGCAAGGACGTCTGCACCCTAAATATGTGCAATTAAAAATAAAACACTGTATAGGCCAGACGGATACATCTGTGGGCTGTATGAGGCCTTTGGGCTGGAAGTTTTTTCCCCCATTTTAAACCCATTTAGTGAACATTCCAGGACTGACTGTGCTGGAGAAATTGGGAAAACGTGTGTCGCAGTCTAAGGAAATTCCTTGAGCAGGAGACTTTCTCTGGGAGCAGGCCAACTTTCTGATACATTGCCCTTTTCCCTCTTTTCTAGATGTACCCTGGGACATCTCTAGTAACAGAAGCCCGCTGTAAGTTTCACCGCTTTGAAGCTCCCCTCATAATGTGGTATTGGTAAACTTTATGGTCTGCTCCTAGCCAATACAGGGACTCTTAACTCTCAACTCTCCAGTTGAGGTATTTTGGGGGAGTCCTGGGCAAAACCATGCCACTTGAAGCTACAATTTCTTAAGCTATTAATAAGGAGAATAATATTTACCTTTCCCACAGGGCAGTGTGATGGTTGATTAATAAGTGCTTAAAGGATGCTTTGAAGATTACAAGTGTCAGCTATTACAGTGATTATTATTAGCTGATCCTACAATCCAGAATTAAAACGAGCACCAGGTTACAGCTGACTCTTTCATCTTCTGTACACACGTTCTATCCACCGGAGGAATTAAATTTAAGCCCAGCATAATTAATTAATGTTTATAAAGCATGTTTTTAGTCTCAACTGCTCTAAGTGCTGAGCGCAGTTATAAGAAACACCACAGCTTTGGTGTGAACCTTGTAGTAATATTACATTCTGATTGACTTCATTTACATCACAGATCAAGTACTCAGGGGCTCATTTCTACTTTCTGTGCAGTGCCCAGCAGCCTGCTGGCATATCATAACTATCCAATAAAAGCAGAAATAAAGTTGTAATCTCCTTTCCTTTTCTCTTGATTTGTCTTTACATATTAAAAAAAAAAGTAGACTAGACAGGAAAAAAGATGCTCTCTTATTTTTGGCAAAAGATGACTCAAAATCTTTGCTAATGGGAATATGGAATCTTCTTTCTCCTGCCTACCAATCAGGAAAATGAAAATTATTTACTCTGGGATGTCTGGTTGTATCACTCTTAAATCATTTATAGTCCACTAAGTGCTTTGAATAATGGAGGAGCTAGGAGGGCCCCTGATTTAATTGGATCTCCTGTGTTTCTTTAGTATCTTTGTGCTTTCTTACATTTAGGGGAATAGCACGGAAGAGAGAGTTAAGAATGATTTTTTTTTTTAAAGAAAGCTATTAAAAGCTTTTACAAGCTTTAATAAAACCTCTCTGCATGCAGGAAGGCCAGATCTCCAGGGATTTGGAAAAAGGCACCCTCAAAGTTAAACATTTGAAGAGCAAACTAAATTCATGACTTTAACATCACTTCCTTTCTTCTCTCACCCTTATCCTCCTTGTAAGATACAACATTGGGTCAGCACATTCTTTAACCCCGAATCTCCAAGAGATTGCAGTATCAAATTATAACAGCACATATTTGTCTGACATTTCAGTTTATAAAATTCATATGTACTGGTTTTCTATTGCTGCCATAACAAATGACCATAGATTTACTGGCTTAAAACAGCAACTTATTATTTCATAGTTCTGTAGGTCAAAAGTATAGGCACAGGTTGGATTAGCTGGTTCTCTGCATCAAGTTTCACAAGGCTGAAATCAAGGTACCTGTAGGGCTGTAGTCTTTTCTTGAGGCTCTGGGGATGTATTCACTTCCAAGCTCATTCACTGTTGCTGGCAGAATTCAGTTCCATGTGGCTGTAGGACTGTGGTACCCGTTTCTCTGAAGCTGTTGGCCAGGGATTATTCTCTAGTTTCACCGGCCACCCACACTCCTACACTGACGGCTTGCTTTCTCCATCTGCGAAGACAGAAATGGTTGATCAACGCCTTTTCAAGCTACGAGTCTTTCTGATCTCACCTCTGCCTCATCGCTTGTCTGCTTCCCACCTGAGAAAATTCTCCTCTTTTAAGGGCTCATGTGATTAGATTGGGCACAGCTGGATAATCCAGAATCTCACCATATCAAGGTCTGTAACCTTCATTATATCTCAGAGTCTTTTTTGCCTTGTAACATAACATATTCACAGATTCCAGGGATCAAGGCATGGACATCTTTGGGGATAGGACATCTTTCTGCCTATTATTTCATGGAATTATTCTACGAGGCAAGGAGAACACTATTATCCCAGTGTTACAGATGAAGAAATGCAGGATCTCAGTAGTATAAGTGATTTAACCCAGATCACAGAGCAAGTAGATGGCAGAATCCAAGGGTAATGACTAAAGTCTTTCTGTTATTTTCAGTTATTCTTTGCTTTCAATAAATAGTTAAAGGGTGCTTTTTAAGAGTCAGGTTTTGTACTAAGCCTGGGGATAAAGGGGTGAAAACTGAAATTTCTGCATTCAAGAGGTTCACAATCCTCCAGGCTAAACTGACAAATATAAAAGCCATCTTAATACCGTTTGTAAAGGCTTAATAAAGAGCACAGAAGAGCACAATCTCAGGGAAGGAAATGAGTGGGCATTAGGAAAGACTTCCTGAAAGCGGTGATCCTTGAAAAGGCTTTTCAAGAACGAGTAGGAGATCATCAATTAGATACCCAGGGTTTAGTGGGAAAAGCAGGTGCAAAGTCTTTGTGGCAAGAAAGTCTAGGGCTCCTTTAAGAGCCGGCAAATGGGATAAAGGGCACAGGTGAAGAAGAATTAACAGAGAAGCTGTAAGGTGGGTAGTACTACATTGTGAAAAGCTTAAAAAAAAATACGCCCCTTCCCACCATGGAAAGGAACAGTTGAAGCATTTGAGCCAGGTTTGACCTAATCTAATGAACATTTTAGAAAGGTGTAAAATGAGGAGATTCAATTAAATGGAAGCTGAGATGCTGAACAACACTGACCATCATATTCAAGGCACTTGTTAATATTTTGAGGTTTAAAAATACAAATTAAACATTTGTCCTTAATTTTTTTCATCTTATGTCAGAACTCTTTTGGTTGCAAGGAGCAGAAAGCCAATTCAAACTAACTTTGGCCAAAGAAGGAGAATCTATTGATAATCACAGGGATAAATGGTTTCAAGCCAAGCTGGATGCCGGAGCTCAAATTATGTCATTAAGGCTCCACCTCTGACTTCTGACCTTCTCTTACTCGACTCATTTCAGAGAGCTTTCTTTCATGTTGTACCAAAGATGACCAGCACCAACTCTAGGTTTACATGGACTTTACAAGTAATAATCCCAGAGAAAAGAGCATGTCGTGTCTCCCAGCATCCTTATGATTCAGAAAAAGGGTTTGGTTTACCCATGCCCAGCCATGGACCACTCTGTTCACAGGGATAGGGTAAGTCAATAGCTAACCTGAGTTATACATCCACCTCTGTAGTAGAAAAAGTGGAACCATCCTCATGTGTTGGAGTTGGGGTATTTTTTGAAATAGGGAAATGATAGATTTTCTGAAATAGAGAATGGTAGGTGAATATATCAGATCTCCATTACACCAGTGCCTACAAATCACCTGAGGATCTTGTTAAAATGCAGATTATGATTCAGTAATGTTGGGGTAAGATCTGAAATTCCGTATTTTTAACGAGCTCCCAGGTAATACTGCTGCTGCTGCTGCGTGGACCACATTTTGAGCAGCAAAGCACTATACTATCTATTGAGGGAGCCAAGGTCAGCATGTGGAAAGATATAACCATAATAATAAAAAGTACAAATGGTAATTCAAGATGATGACAGAAGACGTGGAAAAAGGGAATGTCACACAAACTGTAAAGGCCATAGGTAGCTTAGGATTTCAAAGAAGAGAGAGTTTCCTTAAGCTACATCAGCAGTTTTCAAACCATGGTCTGCAGTTTGACATGGGACCTTTTCAAGAGGTCCATGAGGTCAAAACTGTTTTTTAATGATAATCCTAAGATATTACTTGACTCTTTCCTGTTAGCACATGTAGTAATGGTGTAAAAGCAATGATGAATCAAACAGCTGGCACCTGGGCATGAATCAAGACGGGGCATCAATTGTATAGTATTTATCATGGCCATGTTCTCATGAAAAGAAAAGGAAACGGCACTTTCATTTAAGAATGACCTCAGTGAAGCAGTAAAAAGTATTAATTTTTATGAAAGCCCAAGCCCGGATTTTATTCAGTCTTTTTAATACTTTGTGTGGTAAAATGGGAATTACACATAAAACAATTCTGCTGCATCCCAAAGTAGAATGGTGTCAGGAGGAAAAGCACTTGTGTGATTGAGTTATAAGCTGAAGTAGCCACTTGTTTTTAATGGAAAACATTTATTACTTGAAAAAGTGACTAGCAGATAAACTATAGTTATTCTAACTTGGGTATTTGAACATTTTCTTAAAAATAAACAAGTAAACCTACTTCAAGAAAAGAAATGATGGCATTCATTTTTAATGATAAAGTTTGAGCTCTCAAGGAAAATTAGAACTTCTGAAAATGTTTATCAGTCACCATGAGCTTCACAGCATCTCAAGTTTTAAAGGCTTTTCTGATGAGAATGAAGCTATATTAATAAATGTGATTTTTTCCACATTGCTGTGTCATCATCTGGGTGGTTTACATAATTCAGTGACTCAAATTTTCCAGATGGCCAATGCATAGTGTTACAAAACTATGCATGGGTAAAACACCCAATGAAAGTGCAAGACAGACCTATAGATTTAACTATAACATGTACAAAAATACCATTGATATGGTTTCAGATTCCATATTGCAATAAACCTGTAACAAACTACCACTTCTTAGGTTTGAGTGTAGCATCAAAGAAGAATATCCAGAAATGTCAAAAAAAAGCTATTAAAATATTCTTCCCATTTCAAACTATATAGTGTATCCGTGAGGGCCAGATTGTTTTCTTGTACTTCAACCAAACATATATTGCAGCAGACTGAATGTGGTAGGTGACGTAAAAACTCAGCTATACTCTCTGAAATCAGACATTAGAGGGATTTGTAAAAATGCGAAACAAAGTCACTCTTGTCACTAATGATTTTATTTATCTATGGCTTTGGAAAATATAGTTATTTTTTCCTAAAAGGATGTCATTTATTTTAGCATGTGTTTGATTTAATGTTATTTTTAATGGCATAAAAATAGAAATTAAAAAAATTTTCCATTTCAAGTGTTCTAATTCTGTAAATATTTATTGATATAATCCACGTACAAAAAGCTCTTGGGGTTCTTAATAGTTTTTGAGAGTGTAAAGTGGTCCTGAGACTAAAAAGCTTGCGAATTACTAAGCCAGGCTTATCAGAAAAACTGAAGATTGCTAGTTTTTTACTGCGATTGAATTATGGGTATATCATAATAGAGCAAAAGCATGGATCCTCACTCTTAGAATAAGCTTCTGTCATCTAGTTGGGCAGAAGCTTAGGTCGTTTCTTAGATATGCTATTTGGAATAGAATCTATGCTTTTAGAATCTATCAGACAAAAAATAAAACAACCTCCCCAAAACACCCTTAAGTAAATGTAGTTGGTCTTATTTAAATGCCACTGGATAGAATGCGGCATTAATATTTGTCCCTTTGTTTAAAATGTGATTCTTCAAAATAAAGTTTAGAGATCAAGTCTCTCACATTTTTGAAATAAATGCTATCTGGCAGGGCTTCCATTTGTCCTAGTCTTTCTATTGCTTTCTGGGATGTCAAAACACCCTTAAACAGCTCTTTTGGGTTAGAAGTTCTCTTTTTTTTTTTGGCACTTTGCCTTCCCTTCTAATGCTACTAAAGGTTGGATCATTAGAAAGTTGACCGATAGATGTATTCCACCCAAGGTTATCACCTCAAGATGAGGTTATGAAACCCCTTATATCGATAGCCATACTCCTTCTACCTGAAAATAAAGCTTTAGAAAAATAAAACTTCAGGGCTCCGTACAACAAGGCTTGTACCACTTATGATATTCCAAGTAATTTTCGAGATGCTTTACAAATGTTGACCCATTTAAATCTTGTAACAATCTTATGAAGGGACAATGAAATTGAAGAACATAGAGGTTAAGTTACTCATTCAAGGTCACACAGCTGTTGCATGAGAGTCCAGAGAGTCCAGACAATCTGACTTCAGACGTGTGTCATTAACCAGGATAGTATGCTGAAATAGTGCTTTAATTGGGGATAATTTTAAAAATAACATTTCAAATGAAGAGTTGCTCGATTTTGGTGGACATAATCTTAATTAAATTTACTTGTGCTTTGGACAAATACGCTTATGCTTATAAAACTTCTGAGAAGAGATTCAGGAGCAACTGAAGGCACAGGGGATAGAAGCTGCAATGATTTGGAGTTGCCAGAAATCTAGCTACGCTGCTCAAACTCTGCCAGTAAAATACCCAAGAATGGCAGAAGTATGAGAACCCTGGTTCTCTGGTACTAGTGACAAATGCCTTTGAAATTTCATGCTTTCTTTTGTAAATGTTCTTGAATTCTGCAAACTATAATACTATATTTTAATACAAAAATCATGTTTTAAATGACTCCTCATTGAAAATAAATGAGGCTCCAAGAAGACCCAGTTACTACAATTCTTTGTTGCTTGAAGTGGTTCCTACCATACTGTCCCAATCTTAGAGAAGCCCAGCTCCATAGAATACTTTTGGAAGGCCCTGGAGGATGATCTCCTTTTTGTATCTCTTTTTCATGCACTATTGTCCAGGAACTCTGTACAAGTCCGAACTTGGTTACATAGCTCTAAAATAAAATGACAGTAAGATAGTGCAGGGAGCAGCAGGGGCGGGCGGGGGGGGGGCGGGTACTCCGTAAGCGCTATAAGTTTGGCAAAGCCATTGAATGGTCCCCCTTTCATTGCTCCTTTTAATTTAAACCCATAGTTATGGAGGCAAATATCTAAAGAGACAAGGCAGGCAACAAGAATGAATGAACCAAGCCAGGTAGGAAATGCTGGGGGCTCGCGCACATGTGCTATTTAATGTGGGCTGCACCACACACCTCCAGCCCAGTAAGAATGGGTCCAGATTTGCCAGGTATCCTGATTTTTTTTTTTTTTTTTTTTTTGCGGTACGCGGGCCTCTCACTGTTGTGGCCTCTCCCGTTGCGGAGCACAGGCTCCGGACGCGCAGGCCCAGCGGCCATGGCTCACGGTCCCAGCCACTCCGTGGCATGTGGGATCTTCCCGGACCGGGGCACGAACCTGCGTCCCCTGCATCAGCAGGCGGACTCTCAACCACTGTGCCACCAGGGAAGCCCTAAAATATTTTTAATTTTAGTAAATAATTCCATTTTATAAAATATGTGGCCAACCAAAAGAGTTTCAGGCCTATGCTATACATTCTTTAATGTACAGCATTGAAAATATTAAAAATATTTTATTAAATTTCTATGATTTCTATAAAACCATTATTCACACTTTATTAAATTTCTATTCTGAATTTCTAGTATTTCTATTATCTATTAAACTTCTATTATTATCTACAGTAAAATATTTTTAATTTTAGTAAATAATTCCATCTTATAAAATACGTGGCCAACCAAAAGAGTTTCAGACCTTTGGCCTATGCCGTACATTCCTCCCAGAAACCCCATAAATGTTCAACATTCACAGTGCACAACTGTATATGTCTTTGGTTGGAAGATGGATACTCTCTGGCAGTGTGTGTTTCAGGGACAGTGTGAGAAGAGAAACTTTTGTCCTCTGATCATATTAAAGTTTTTGTTTTTTCCTACTTACAAGTCCCAAGAGGGAGAATTAAGATGACTCTTCTTAAATAGGATAAAAAATGACCTCTTTATCACGTTTATGGTATTATCCTCTGAGGATCACACATTTCTTTTGCTCTTTCTTTAGCGTAAAAGGGGAACAACTGTTTCCCGTCCTCTGAAAAAGTCTTTTTGTATTTTGAAATAGTTATTAAGGCTCTCCTTGCTCACATCTTTGCTCTCTTCAGACAAAATAACCCCACATCCTTCAACATTTCCTCAAGGATTTCTTTTCTTCTTAAATTTTAATTATTTTCATTATAGACCTCTGGACCCTCTCCCAAGTCTCCCATATCTTGCTTATTATGTGGTCACAGTGGAATGACTTGTCCTCATAAAATCTCAGCCAAAACTAAGTACAGATAGAAGATTATTTGCAGTTACTACATGCTATGTCTTTGTGTGACTGTCAAATGGCATTGCATCTCTGACCAATACGTTAACCTGTAATCTGCTCCAAGCCCCGTATCATTTCCAAAGTTTTTATGCGTAGCCAGTTTTCTTCTTATTCTCATGACATGATTTGTGACTTTTACTGCCTTATCGTTCATCCTATGTACTTTTCTTTCTGTTTACTCTTTTCTCTATACCCAGAGTGCTGGAACTTTAATGCCAACATCTACATAGTGCCCAGTATACAACAGGTCCTTAAGATATGTTTACTGAGTGAAATAACTCAAAATACGATTTAGGCAATATTCCCACTAAAAAATTTTATTGAATCTAGTAGAAATTTCTGGTACCTTTTTCAAAACTTGACTAAATTTCTGGATTCTCTTTAGAGAAAGATCTGTGTATAAGTCTTGGCCCTTGATTCTTAATAGCTATTTGACTTGGATAAGTTATTTAAATTCCTTAAGCCTTTGTGTCTAACCTATAAAATATGCATAATAGTATCTATCTCAAGTTACTGTGACATTTATATGAGACACTGCATGTAAAATAATTGGAAGTGTTCTTAGTATATAATAAATCCCCCCCAAGATGCTAGATTAAGAAAAATATACTAGCCCAAACAGAGTTCTATATCTGAATAAGTTAAAGAAGAGATTATTTCATCTCAAGTTTTCCCTTCTAAAAGGTCTTATGCTGGAAGTTATTTCTGGACTCTGAGAATTCTTGTTCATGGTATTCTCTCTTGACACTTCACTTTCTCATCTTTCTGCTCAAATTGAACACAAGCATAAATGTTTAGTCCCAGTAAAATACTCACTACACAATGTTAGCATCTCAAAATCATCAGTAGTTTTAGTTTCATCTTTTCCTATATCTTCATGAGCTAAAAATCTAAATGGAAGATAAGAGTCCACTGACACAAAAAGAAATTGTATAACTGCTATTGAAATACTTTAAGGAAGAATAAAATATTTGAGCATTCAAAGAAGACGCCTGGTCCCAATGCAAGGAAAGAAGCAGGTCTTACCCAGACTGTGCTCCAAAGAAGGTGCTGGATAAGTGTCTCTTGGCTGATGGTGGTGGTGAGGTAGTGGTGGCGTTGAAGTCGTGGACAAGTTCCCATGTCATAGAAAATGGGGTGCCGCCACTAGAGGAACAACAGAGTGTTAAGTATCCCAGTGAGTATCAGACTATGGCATATCTTTAGGAATGACGGGAGAAGTAAGAGGAAATGACAGTACAGAAGTGATTCACAGCAACAGGAATGTAGCAAGCCGTCAGACTTCATGGATGTTAAAATTCACAGTTCTAAAATGGTCACCAACTTAACTCCTGAAGTGTGTGTCTCAGCAGAAATTGTAGTTTAAAGTGAAGATTTACAGTTTCTTTAGCAGGAGGTGAATTGCTTAGGAACAAAACTTTTACAAGGCTTATTAGTTGTCAACAAATAATAGCATTTAGGCATGTCATCTGTTAGCACAAGTGGCTATAAGGTGATAACTCACATAAAGTTTATATTAAGCTTAGGATTCATTAGAAGAATTTTTGTAATCCAGATGACCTTGCAAGCAATTTTCATCTTTAGCCACTACAGTAAATCATTTCATTTCCTACTCAGAACTACTTCAAAATTATAATGTGTCCCAAGGACACACTGAACTTTATTTTTATACCTGCCCAGTTTTACCTTTTCCATGAAAAAGGTCGTTGACAATGAGATAAATAAAATCATAAGATCCTATGATCATCACTACTACTGTTAGGCTCACTGATGAGGATACATCAAATAATGAAAAGATTACACTTTTTTTACATTGAGGAATACAACACCTTTCAAATTATAATATATTACTAGCCTAAACATTTGTGCCAATTTGTCGTCTATATTTTCTTGGGATGATTGAATACAAAATGCCTCAAAAAACAGTGAAACTAACACAGGTCTAGGAATCAGATGACAATTTTGTATTAGTTCTATCACATTTGATACCTGTATACCATTTGTTAGGCAAAAACGTTGAGCCTCATTTTTCCCTCTAGTTAAATGGGAATGACTTCACAGTGCTATTTACTAGTACAAAGGTGATAATGAAGTTCATTTAAGACTCACGAGGGCTGAATGCACACACGTAAGGCTCAGCTACTACTGCTATAGCTACTAATACTACTTTTACTACTATTCCTGCTATGACAATGGCTACCACCACTGCTAACAGCATTATTCTTTCTTGGATTTGCTTCAAGCAGCTATTTCTCATCCTGGGTTTGTATATGATTAATATATAGATAGATAGATAGATAGATAAACTACGTATGTACGTTCCTCTCACACCTATATAATTAAAAACAATGAAAGATCATGGAGAGTGTGGTAATATGCTTTTATGTATTTATTTTTAATAAAATTAATACATATCAATTACAAAAAATGTCAAAAAAAATATAGAGTTTTAACGTAAAAAGTAAAGTATTTGAAGAAACAGAAGAATGACTGTCTTGCGTTATTCTCTCCCAATTCCATTCCCCATTTGAGTCTGTTTCTTCAGTCTGCTGCACTCAAGGCTAGCTGCTTAAGGAACAGAATATATACATTTTGAATGTAAACTGTTCCATACGAGGTAAGTTTCTACACAAGTAAGTTAGCAGGTAAGGGCCTTCAAATACTTTGCCTTTTAGTAAAAAGACAAAGCTAACTTAAAATATTGTCATTGACAAACAGATTTTGAGTGCCTGTTAGACACGGTGCAGAGTACTGGATACACTGACAAGTACAAATTCTCAGCTCTATTTTTTGCTAAGCCTCTTGCAGACTGTTTTTCTCTTCTATCTATGGTGACCATTAGAGCATCCCTCTTTTTATTTTTAATAGATTTTAAGACTGTCTTACAGTTCCAACTTTGTAATTTATTTCCTCTGGAATGTGTTCCTTATTACATATATGAAGTCAATTCAATTACAGCAATCAAGTGTACCTAATTTTATTGCAGGTTTCCTTAAGATACTGATTTCCATCCATCTTAAATGGAGTAGCTGGAGATCTGAGAAACAAGATAAGGTAGACAGTGCTATAAGTGAGCCTGCCCAAGATTATCCAAGGATTGTCCAAGTGGAGCTGCCACACCGAGGTAAAATCCGGTTGCTGATACTGACAGGACCAAGGCTATGTTTGGTCTGCGCAGGCAGGGGTCATCAAAGGGTAAGGCATCAAGAAGACATAAAACATGCTTTCACTTAAAATTATAGCTGAAGCATTTCTCCATGTAAATTTAAATGACTATATGATAATCATGCAGATACCATTTACCACTGTTGTGTTACAGTGTTTCTAATGTTGCATTATAAATAATGGCTACGTGGAACGCATAAAGATCTCTACATATTTGTGCTCATTTCATTAGAGCGGAGTCCCTGACGTAAAAGTTTAAAGTCAAAGAATATGAAAAATGTAATGACTACATACGATATTGCCTAACTCACAACAGTTTCACTTACAGCCTGGATGCCTGAGATGACGCATCCCGCTGATTCCTCCACCTGCCCTCTGACTCCTCACTCCTGGTTTGGTTAATATCCAAAATATATAAAGAACCAATACAAATCAATAGCAAAACAACAAATAAACACCCCGCCCCCCTGACAACGATGTGATTTAAAATGGGCAGAGGAGGAACTGAATAGAAGACATACAAATGGCAGGTACAGGAAAATGTGCTCCATATCACCAACGATCAGGGTCCATGGTGCACGAAATGGTGCATGAAAAGGCACATGAAAAGATACTCAACATCACTAATCATCTGGGACATCCAAATTAAAAGCACAATGAGATATCACTTCACAGCTGTTAGAGTCGTGATAACAGCCACTGTCTAGGATTGGGAAAAAGAAAACCCTTTTGCCCCGTTGGTGGGAATGTACGTTGGTGGTTCCTCAAAAATTTTAAAAAGAACTACCAAATGATCCAGGAATCCACCTTCTGAGTATATATCCAAAGGAAATGAAAACAGGATATCAAAGATACATTTATACTGCTCTGTTCATTGCAGCATTATTCACAGTCGCCAAGATATAGAAACAACCTAAGTGCCTGTCAACAGACAGATGGATAAAGAAGTTGTCTATACACATACAATGGAGTATTATCCAGCCATGAGAAAGAAGGACATCCTGCCATCTGCCACAACATGAATGAACCTTGAGGGCATCATGTTAAGTGAAAAAATTCAGAGAAAGAAAAAGACTGTATGGTATCACTTATATGTAGATTTTAAGAAAGCCAAGACCCATAGAAACAGAGACTACAGTGGTAGTTACCAGGGGCTAGGGGGTGGAGGAAAAGGTAAGATGCTGGTCAAAGGGTACAAACTTCCAATTATAAGATAAATGAGTTCTGAGGATGAAATGTACAGCATAGTGACTACAGTTAATAATACTGTATTAGATACTTGCTAAGAGAGTAAATCTTATATGTTCCCATCACAAAAAAGAAATGGTAATTATGTGACATGATGCACGTATTAGCTGACGCTATGGTGATAATCATTTCCCAATAATATAAATGTATCAAATCAGTATGCTATATGTCAATTATATCTCAATAAAGCTAGAAAAAATATTTCTATTTTTTCTCTTGCGAATTGCTGATTAATATGGAAAACCTTATACAAACCTTAATAGTTTGACGTTTTATGTGGAAATTGTCTCAACCCATTGTCATCTTGTATAATAACATTGCTTCCAGATTTTTTTTTTGCCTTTTAATTTGGATTATGTTTTCTTTCATTTATAGAATAAAAAGTATTTTATGAAATCAAATTAATGGCCATTTCCTTTATTGTTTTATTTCCATTAAACAATGCAATTAATCACAGGTAATAATGCAAGGTCACTTAAATAACTCTAAACTAATACTACTACCATCACCAGCACCACCACTACCATTTTAGTTTGCAGTATACCAAATAAGAAGTGAAAATCTGTCTTCATCCAACGTCTCCACTCATCCAAACCCAAAGCAGAGATAACGGCCAGCAGTTTGATGTTTTCCTTCATAGTTTTTCTTTTTTCTTTTTTTTTTTTTTGTGGTACACAGGCCTCTCACTGTTGTGGCCTCTCCCGTTGCGGAGCACAGGATCTGGACGCGCAGGCTCAGCGGCCATGGCTCCCGGGCCCAGCCGCTCCACGGCATGTGGGATCTTCCCAGACCGGGGCATGAACCCGTGTCCCCTGCATCGGCAGGCGGACTCTCAACCACTGCACCACCAGGGAAGCCCCATAGCTTTTCTTTTACATGAATTTACAATCTCCTTTGCTCTCATCCTTCTCATCCTATCAGCCAATGAGCTCAGTAGATGTAACTTTCAAAATACATTTTGAATTCTCCATTTCTTTTTGTTTTCTTTTCTGGTCGAAGTCATCATCCTCTCTTGCAACAGCCTAGTAATTGGCCTCCCAACTTCCACTCCATCTTCCCAACAATCCATTAACTTCATAGTTGCCCACAATGATCATTTAAAAAATATGCTTTCCTTTAAAGCCATTGAGTGGTTTTCCATTACAATTAGGTTAAAATATACATTTTTTTTTTTTTTTTTTTTTTATGGTACGCAGGCCTCTCATTGCCGTGGCCCCTCCCGCCATGGAGCACAGGCTCCGGACGCGCAAGCTCAGCGGCCATGGCTCCTGGGTCCAGCCGCTCCGAGGCACGTGGGATCCTCCCGGACCGGGGCACGAACCTGCATTGGCAGGCGGACTCCCAACCACTGCGCCACCAGGGAAGCCCTAAAATATACATCTTTAATCAGCTTAAAAAGCCCTGCAGGGATTGGCTCGTGTCTGTTGCTCCAGTCTCCTGCTTTGACTCTTTTCGGCTTACAGCACTATTTTTTTTTTTTTTTTACCTGTTTATTGGAGTACAATTGCTTTTCAATGGTGTGTTAGTTTCTGCTTTTATTTTTCAGGTCCTTGGAGCTCTTTCTCAACTCAAGCCACGTACTGTTCCCTCTCCTTGGGCTGCTCTTCCCTCCCTATCGTCTATGCCTGACTAACTCCTACTCAGTCTTTGTGTTATATATTAGTCCTTCTGATTTGTCTTCCCACAGTTTCCCCAATCTAAATAGTATTTCTCTTTTTGCACTTTTCATTTTTCCTAATAATATGAATACCACGTATTAATAATCATTTG